CTGCCCTCCCAGGGGGCACGTCCCACTCGGGGCCTGCCCAGGCCTCACCGTCCAGTGTGATGTTGGGAGTGTCCCCATGGTGCTGCCGGAACACAAAGTCCACAAAGTACTGGGGGGTCGGCAGGGCGTGGATGCAGGACCCGTTTTGGACGTGGTCCAGCAGAGCAGCCAACACGGGGCCAGGGCTGCCAGGAGCCCCTGCCCCCGCCGCCTGGTCCAGCAGCCAAGGCAGGTCCACGCAGGCCTGGGGGAGGGGCAGGGCCTCAGCTGCACTCCGTGTGGCCCTCCTGTCCCCCAGCATCACCACCCCCCCAGTGTCCCCAGAGTCTAGCCCAGAGTCTCCTCCCCAGGGCACCCCCGCCTCCTGCTCACCTGAGGCCTGAGCTGAGCTCCTCTCCTGGGGCCCCAGGAGCCCGTTCTGCTCCCTGTCCCCTCCAGGGCCCCGCCAGGGGCTCCCGAAATCCCTGCCCCACTCAGTGGTGAACACCCAAGGTGACCCCCAGCCAAGCCCACCCTCGGAGTGGGTCCCCTCCCTCGGTCCCCCTTGGCCCTCACCTCCTCTGCAGAGGGCAGGCCGGCGGTCCGGACCTGAATCCTCCGCAGCAGCCTGCTCAGGCCCAGGATCAGGGCCTCGGGGCCCTCGAGCAGGGCCAGAAGGTGGTCAGCTCGGGAGGCCCAGCGGCCAGCCCGGATGTCCTCACAGGTGCCCTCAGGGTCACTGAGATAGAGGGCAGCGGCCGCACTGAGGCGGGGGATGTGCTCGGGCTCCAGGACCAACACTGGGGCTGGCCCCGGCCCCTCAGGCCGGCCCAGGGCCAGGAGGTCTTCCACAGACAGGCACTGTGGGCAGAGACAGGTGAGCAGGGGCCAGGCACCTGGGGGTCCCGGGGAGCTGCTGCTTCCCCACCCCCGCTCCCCCATCCATTGCTCCCACACACTCCCCTCAATTACAGGGGTGCACACACAGGGGTCCCAGGCAGTGGTCCCCCCTTCCTGGTGGTTTCTCCCTGGAATCACTGCCTGGGGCCGACGAGAAAGGTGGCCCTGGGTCCCCAGAGCTTCGTGTCCCCATCACGGCCCCGCTCCCAGGCAGGAGAAGGCTGGGCTTGGAGCCCCAGGCAGGGCCATGGCACTGGGGCACTTGGCCTCTGCCCGCCTTCTGGAGTTTGTCCCTGGGGAGGAGCAGGCAGGGCCGGGTCCAAGGCGACCTGTCCGGTGGGGGTGGGGCGCTTACCTTTCCACACGGCCCCGAGGAGCAGTGCACACGGGCCGCAAGCGTATTTAACAGGCCGCCCAGAGCCACGCGGTCCAGAGCGCCCTGGGCCGAGGACCTCGAAGTCAGCAGGTGAGCAGGCTGGGCTGCCGCCAAGGTCACCACCAGCACCGTCAGCAGCAGCCCTGGCCTCTGAGGGGTCCCGACCGCCATGCCGAAGCCACTGCCACGGAGGCAGGCACACTGGGGCGGCTGCGGGCGGAGAGGGCTGCCTGGGGCCAGACTGGGGCTAGGCACAGGCTCTCTCCCAGGTATTTCCTGCTGGGCCCTGTGATTGGCTGTCAGCAGAGTCGCAGATTAACCATTCCAGGGGCAGGTCCTCCCCAAAACGAGGAGCCACTGCCTGGGGGGTGAGCGGCCTGGGGTGGTTGTGGGGCGGGAGAAGCTCTCCTGGAATTTCCTGCTGTGCTCTGTGCTTGTCTGACACAGGCTGAGCACCCAGGACAGATCCTGTCCCGGCCCAGGAGCCGCTGCCTGCGGGGGTGAGGGCCCCTGCCCCTGGACGCATGGCCCGGGGGTCCACTCCTGCCTACTGCTCCCCTGAGGGCCTCGGGCATCACCTCCTGCAGTTCTGTTTCTCGGGGTGCCCCCAAGCGAGGATGCTCCCCGACATTCCACCTGAGGGCCCCCTCCCACCCCTTCCCAGGGGTCCTCCCTGGCTCCAGGAGCTGAAGCACCCCCAGAGGCTTGAGAACGGGGCCTTTTCTCCTGGGCCCTGGGCTGCCATCTCGTGGGCCCTGGGGAGGTGGGCTGAGTCATGTTCCCCTCCCCCAGGCTCCTGGGGAATTCCTCCGGAAATGGCTTGGTTGTCTCTCCTTCGGCACCTGGGGAGGGCCTCCTGGGTGTGGCGTCTGGCCTGGCCTCTCCCTGAGGCTCCCTCTCAGCCTTTGACCTGTCTGCCGAGCTGGCATCTGGGGGAAGGGCCAGCCTTGCCTCCTACCCTGGGCCCTGCCTGAGTGAGGTGGGGGTGGGGGACGGTGGCTCCCGGCAGCAGGAGCCCAGGTCCCTGGACAATGCCATAGGCCATCCGCTGGGGCAGCGGGCGGCAGCGAGGGAAGGGGCGGGGGGGGGGGGGGGGTTTCAGATGATCCTTGGACACTGGCTCAGTGAGGAGGGGAGCTGGATCTCAGGCTCCCCTCACACCGTTCTGACAGCTGAGCCCATCTTCCCTGCACCAGGACCCCTGCCAGCTGGAGCCTAGGCCACCTACTGCCTGGGGCCTGTTAGCTTCCGGCGGGGGGGGGGGGGGGGGGAAGGTCTCCGCCTGCCTGACCCCTGGAAGGCCTGGCTCCTGCTGGCAGGCTTCAGGGACCTCAGTGCTGGTCCACTTTCCTCCGCTTCTGCCTGCCCCCCCCTTCCCACTGATACCCCACGTGGCTCTGGGCGGCCGGGGCCGAGGGGGTCGCCAGCGGCCTCTGTGCTGGTGCAGTGCTGTCCAGTGGGTGCCAGGCCCTCTCCTTCGTCCCCAGGCCCCTCGGGCATCATCCCATCTAATAAACTCATTGTAATCACAACATCCACACACCCGTGTCCACAGCAGCCAGAATGTGGGGAACAGGTGTCTGCTCAGAGATGGACACGTGTGTTCACATAAAAACACTCAGGCCGGTGAAGAAGTTTTGTGAGTTTATTTGAGCCAAACTGTCCACGATTACCAGGAAGCAGAACCTCAGCGGATTATCGGATTATCGGTTACCTCTGCGTTCATACATTGAAATCAAAGGAGTTACATAGGTGGGTCTCATGAAATCCACCGGTGATAGACTAGAGAGGCGGGAGAAAGCAAAGCAGGGAAACCCTGGGATTGGATAAAAAGGGGAATGATAGACACATACTTAAGTGGATGCAGGACCAAGATAACAGTGAAGGAATTTGTGCTCTCTGTCCTGGCGCCCAGCACATTAGGTTGTGCCCCGAGGGCTCCGGAAAAAGGGAAGTTACACGTTACCGGACATTTCAAGGACATGTTGTCATAGATGCAAAAAGACAGACAGGCTCAGTGAAGGTAAAGGCTGACCTTGTCAGTGCAGATACCAGCCTAGGACGTGACTGCCCACCATCACTGCTGTAGTTAAAGTTTAATTTCAGACCATCCTTTGTGGGGGCTTTAGGTCTGAGTGTACAAGGCCGCCCGCAGGCCTCCCCTGAGCTGTCAGGTCCACAGGTGACATGTGGGTCCTGTCCTCTTCGGCCTGAGCAGCAAAGGGAATCCTGGCACCTGCTGAGGGAGGAAACCTGCCCTGGCCCCTCCCTCCAGCTGCCTCTTGAGACCTTTGACCCCTGGCCCTCTCTCTGTCTCGCTGGCACCTGGGGGGGAGGGGCAGGCCCCAGGGAGCCAGCCTTGCCTCTGGGCAGCCCCTCCTCATCTGCACCTGGTTGGTACCCCTGACTCTGAGCTCCCGGTGGTCCCAGGGCAGGACGTCAGGCTCAGGGCAGTGTCCTAGGTCTGGGGCCAAGTGCCGACCTCACCCTCATACCAAGTGTTGGCCTGTCCATGTAATGGAACAGCATTCAGCCTTAAACAGTAAGAAAACCGTTTGGCCAGCGTGGCTCTGTGGCTGAGCATCGACCTATGAACCAGGAGGTCACGGTTGGATTCCCTGATCCCCGGGGGCGGGAGGGGGGGAGGCCGGAGGCAGCCTATTTATTTTAAAAAAATTGTTTAAAGTATTACATATGTTCCCATTTCTCCCCATTAATCCCCTTAGCTCCCCCCCCCCCCCCCCGGCCTAGGTCCTCACCATCCCATTGTCTGTCCGTATATGCGTACAAGGTCCTTGGTTGATTACCCCCCCTTCCCTCCGAGATTTCACACTGTTCCATGTTCAAGAGGCGGCCTAGTGATGATTCCCTCTCATCATTGATGTTTCTCTCTCTCCCCCTCTCTGAAATAAATTAAAAAATACATACATAACTGGCTGGTTTGGCTCAGTGGATAGAGTGTTGACCTGCGGACTGGGGGGGTCCCGGGTTCGATTCCTGGTCAGGACACATGCCCGGGTTGTGGGTTGGTCCCTATTGGGGGGCGTGCGGGAGGCAGCTGATCAGTGATTCTCTCTCATCATTGATGTTTCTGTCTCTCTTTCCCTCTCCTTTCCTCTCTTAAATCAATATAAAAATATATTTAAAAAATCAAATCAAATCCATCTGGACTCGTGCTGTGAAACTTTCCCTGCACCGAGTCAAGAACCCACAAAGACCAGGCCGGCCCGAGGCAGACCTGCTCAGGGCCAGGCCTCCGTCACAGTAACAGGTGCCCCCAGCACAGCCCACACCCACACCCGAGGTCCCCATCAACCCTCCCGCCAGCCCTGGCTCTGACCCCCAATGCCAGTCCCTCTGCTTCTGCTCTTTCCCTTGTAAAGCGCTGAGAGGCCTTCTTTTATGGCCTGTAGTGGCCACAGGTAGCAAGAGGACAGTTCAGAAGGAGAAAATGCTACCATGAAACTCTGGCTTGTCCCTTACCCACAGCTGCTAACAGGTGAAACGGTGCACCCTGGAACCCAGAGCCAGGGTCTCCGGGCGTGTTGCTGTCTGCCTGGGCTGCCCCCACCCCTGGGCCAGGTGGAGGCTCAACCACCCCCTTGCTTGCCCAGGCTGCTGCCCCTGAAGGGCACCCTGACCTTTCCCTGATGAACTGTGTGCTCCAGGATGGCAGGGTCCCACTCGAGGCCCAGATGGCAGACAAACATGCCAGGCAGGCCCAGGCGGGTGCCCACAGCAGCAGGAAGGTCAGAAAACATCTTTATTGTGGGGAAGGGGGGTCCCAGGTAGAGACATGTAGACAGATACACAGACAAGGCTGCCACAGAAAGCCCAGGGAGCTAGGAAAGCAGACAGCGTCCCGGGAGGCTGGGTTCCCGGGGGGCTGGGCTGAGAACCCCTACTCCGTCTGCTCCTCCGTCCACTCCGTGCACGGGCAGGGAGGCCAGGACTCAGGCGTGCAGGAAGCGGTTGAAGGCGTTGTAGGCGGACTCCAGGTCAAACAGCATCTGGCGCACTTGGTTGTCGTCCAGCTCGTCGGACGCGGACATGCCGCTCAGGGTCTGCAGCCTGGGGGGCGGGAGCACAGCGCTGGAGTGGGCTCGGGGGGCGGGGCCCCAGGGCCACCTGGAAGGGCCAGACACTCACCACTGGCTGACGGTCTGGCGGCCCTCGAAGTCGGGCGGCAGGTGGCTCATGCGGTGCATCGTCTCCATCAGCTCCCGCAGGTCAGGCTGGATCTGCACACACGGGCCTGTGAGCCCCGCTCCGCTGGCGCCCAGCCCGCCCGGCCTCCCCCAGCCCCCCATGAGCTGCACCTCATCCATGGCGCGGATCTCCAAGCGCAGCTTGTCCATCACGGTGATGAAGAGCTGGGGGCAAGTGTGTGCATGAGGCAATACCCCCACCAGGGGCCGGGGGGGGGCGACCCCTAGCAGGATCTGGCCCAGGCCACCCCCCAGCCCCTCTCTTCCTTAGGAACCCATCCTCTCCCTCCACGGCCTTGGCTGTTGGGCCTCAGCTGTTGGGCCTCAGGCTCCGCCCACACTTCTGTTCCCACAACCTGGGGTTCATCCACTTTGCTGCCTGCGGGAGCTCTGGTGGCCTTGACCCAGGGCCGTCCCCCTGGGTCTCAGGCAGGGAGGGGACTCGGAGGCCTCCTGGACAAGGCCCAGGGGAGCAGCCTGTCCCCCTCATTCTGAGCCACAGGCCCTGCCAGTGAGGAGCCAGGACCGTGCAGCTCCAGGGAAGCCAGGCCCTGCGCACGTGCCATGGGGGCCTCACCGAGACCACGTCTGCGATGCAGCGGTTGAGGTTGCCCTTGTCGTCCTTGATGGTGATGGGCCTGTCCTCCTTGATCCTCTCCATGGCCAGTGGGCAGTCCAGCTGAGAGGGGGCACAGGGTTGTTGGCCAGGCCCCTTCCCAACAGCACCCACATCGCGCCCACCTTCCGCGCCCCTGGCGGACTCACGCGGAACTTGCGGCAGAATTCATCGATGGAGCTGATCTCTGAGCCCTGCACCTGCCGGAAGGCGGCTTTGTACTGCACCAAGAGGCGGGAGCAGGCCGCGGTGTACCTGGGGAGAGGACGGGCTCAGGGCCAGCATGGCCGCCCTGCCTGCCCCCACCCAGGGCCACTCTGGGGAGAAGGGGGGCTGGGTGACGAGTCAGAGCTGGACCACTGAGGACGAGACCGTCCATCGGGTCTACACGGAAGGTTCTGGGGGTGGCAGAACCAGGCCTGGACCGCAGATCGGCCGGAGCCCCGCGCTGCAGAGGCTCTCCCCCGTGCCTGCTCTCCGGGACTGTGGTGGTCATGCCTCCACACCCACAGCCCGTGGCCTCTGGGGGGCCTGTCCCCCTGAATAAAGGCTCCATGAACCTCCCAGGAACCAGGCTCAGCAGCGCCCTCCCAACTCTTGCTCGCCTTCCGAAGGCCTCACCAAGGAGGACATGTGCACCCGGGGGAGCAGGCTGGGATGAACCCAGGAGCAGGGCGGTGGGCACCTCTCCATGGGGACGCTGCAGATGGTGCCCAGGCTGCCAGCACCCAGGGGCACCCTCCAGCCCGACAGGGGAGGCAGATGCCCACATGCAGACCCCTCTCCCCTCTCATTCCTGAGCACCCTAGCCCTGGAGGGAAGACACGGCTTCCAGGGCCAGGCACCCATCTGTGGGTGGCAGCGCCCTCACTCGTTGGGGGTGACGCAGTCCTTGATGTACGCCTTCTCCAGGGCCTGCATGGTCTTCACAACGGCAAACAGCTCCGCCATGTTGTCGTACCTGAGGAGGGCGTATCCGTCAGGCCAAGACCACGAGGCCCCCAGGGCCAGGCACCACCCCACTGGGTTCGTCCGCTGTGGCAGAGCTCTGACCCACGTCCTTCGGACCCTGGGTGTGAAGGCTGCTCAGGGTAGGAGCATGGGCCTGAGGGGGTGTGCTGGGGGGCGACCTGGGCGCTGGACTCACTTCTCCCGCTCTCGGGCATTCTTGTACAGCTTCACTTCCTGTCGGAGAGAGGGGCAGCGTGTTGGCACAGACTGGTGTTCACATGGGCATATACTGTGGGTCAGTGCCAACCAGGCAGGTGCCCGCCACTCACCTCATACAACTCCGGCTTGTTTCCAGGGGCTGTAACAGAGCAGGCAGAGAGCTAGCAGTCTGCCCCCACCCCGGCCCTCCTGAAACCACCCCCAGGCTACGTCCCCGTATGGGGGGGCTTAGCGATGCTCCCATAACCCCTGGCCACGGCTCGGGTCAGGCCGCTACAGTGGCTGAAAGTCTGGGCCCTTCCCGTGCCTGGACCCAGCTCACCTCCCACGCCTGGCGTGGCTGGGATCCCGTGGAACATCCTTAGGCTCAGCGGCCACAGCAGAGACCTGAGGAGCAGGACCAGCACCAACTCAGAGGCACCCCCGACGCCTTGCGAAGAGCTTCCCGCTCTCAGCAGACAGATGAGAAACAGCAACAAACCCAGGGCAGAGGGTGCTGTGTGGGGGCCGCCCTTCCCCGGGAGAGCAGCCAGGGCCCTGCCCGAGGAGCTTGGTTGGTTAGAGCGCCGGCACCATACACCACGGTTGGGGGTTTGGTCCCTGGTCAGGGCACATACAAGAAAGAGCCAACCAATGACGCATACATATGTGGGCCAACAAGTCAGTGTCTCTTTCCCACTCTCTCTAAAATTAATAAGAAAAAAAAAATATCTTTAAAGGAGAGCAGCCATGGTGTGGGGAAGGGCAGGCTGCTCCGAGCCTGGTGGCCAGGCAGAGGCGGCGGCAGCATGTGGACGGGCAACCAGGAGGAGCGTCTGGGCAGAGGAGCCGCACAGGTAACGGGTGGTCTTTTTTTTTTTTTGAGAGAAGGGACGGCAAGAAAGAAAAGCACCCCGTTAGAGAAACCTCCACAGGCTGCCTCCTGCACGCCCCCTGCTGGGTGGGCATCAAGCCCGCACCCGCATGTGCCGGGCTGGAAGGGACCTTTCGCACGGAGGATGCTGGGCGCCGAGCCCACTGGCAGGCCCGGGGTCCTCATATACCAGAAGGTCTGGTTCGGGAGAACAGACGAGCCGGGTCTTTCTGAGCAAGGGGTCCCCGGGGCAGGAAGGCGGGCGGCAGGGCCAGGAGCTCCCGGAGGACGGAAACGGGTACACAGCTGGGTCTGCGGGTGGACCCCCCGGGGCACAAGGAGTTACGAGGGACGCTCTTGTTCGGTCCGATGGTGCCATGACGATAGGGCAGCTGAGATGGAGGCGGGCGGGGGGGAGTGTGCCCGGGTTCGGACGTGTTGGGTTTGGGGCTCCATTAGACACCGAGACGTGCGCCGAGGCAGCGGGAGGGCAGTGCCGGCAGCGGGGAGGGAGGGCGAGGCTGGGAGAGACGAGCAGCATCTCACGGAAGCAGGGCCCTGCCCGAGGCGGCGGCGGGTGCGGGGACAGGTCCCACCGGGCGGGGACACGGAGACTCTGGAGCAGCCCCGCGGGACCGGGTGGGGGTGGCGCCACCGGCGAACTCCTTTCAGCCGCGCGAGCCGATGCCCCCGGACTGACCCTCACAAACCGGACTCCGAGCGGCACAGCTGGATCCGGAGATGCTCGCGATGTGGCCGCGGGGCCACCCGGGCTGCCACCAGGTCCAGGGGGACCCGCCGCGCGCGGAGGCGCCACCCCGGCCCCAGGAGCGGAAACCCCAGACGAGGGGCCCCCGGCGGGGCGGCGATACCCGCAGGGCGACGCCCGAGCCGCCCGCCCCCGTCGGGTCCGCGGCCCTGGCCCGCCCCCCAACCCCGAATACCTGGGCAGGAACCGCGGCCGGGTCCAGAGATGGCGCCGGGGCGGGGCCCCGATCGACCGCTCGGCGCTCGACCACGTCTGCGCCTGCGCACAGGCCACCCTCCCTGCGCAACCCTCGCGCCTGCGCACAGGCCGCCCCACCCACGACGCGCCTGGGGCCACCCGTAGGTCCCCCGAGTGGCCGCACTGCCCCGACCCCGCCCCCCTCAGTAGCCGGGTGAGGCGGCAGCAGCACTTTATTGGGGGCGCGGGAGGCTTGGGGGGGACGGGGCGGCGCCGGCTGTCAGAGACGCCGGAAGAAGAGCCGGGAGCCTCGGTCCAGGGTGCGGGCGGCGGGGTCCGACTGTCTGGACAGCAGCTGGCCCAGGGCGGCCCGGTCCTCGGCGGAGAGCCGCCTGCTGCACAGTTGTAGCTCCTGCAGCCGCGCGGCGATCTTGTCCCAGAGGCCGGGGCGGAGGGGACCCCGGACAGTGCAGCCTGCGGGGGTAGAAGGGAGCAGGCCTCAGGGAGCTGCTCCCCGCAAAGTCAGGTGGCCCCACGGGAGCCGGGCCCCAGGGTGCTCCCAGCCCGCGTATGCGTCCTCCTTCCTAGTGACAAGATGCCCCGAGAGGTGGGGGCCACTGGAGGAAGGGTGTGCTCTCCCAGGCGGCCAGGCAGGAGGGAGGGTGGCTGAAATAAACACTGCGTCCACATCTGTGCCTCCGAGTGTCCATGACAACGCCTGGGTCTTTCCATCCATAACGTGCGCACAGTAGGGGTGCCTGTGAGTCTCGGGCCTGATACACTCAGGACCCCAAGGGGCTTGGTGAAGGTGGAACCCCAGGAGGCCAGGTTGGAGATCTGCCACTTGGAGGAGCAGGAAGAACCAGGCCCCTGAGCACCCCACTCCCAGCCCGTCCAACTGGAGGGCAGAGCTGAGCGTCCTGCCCCAGTTGAATGTGCCAGGCTGCTGGGTGGTCTCCCCTGGGTCACCCTCAAGACAGCTCTGGGTACTGCGGGCATGCCCGCCGTGAGAACAAGCCACAGGGGCCCTGCCAGGAACTGGGAAGGTCCCTTAGTGGCAGCTTTTGCCCCCTTCCAGTTACCTGTCCTGTGCCAGCTGCAAGGGGCCCAGCCCACCCTCAACTTCTGGCCAGTGGCAGTGCCAGCCTCTTCAAAGGAGGCACCTGGGCTGCAGGCAGGTCCCTGAGGAGGAAGCTGTGTCCCCAGCCCTGGTGTGGTAGATGTGGCCACCATCCCCAGAGCTCACCTGCCAGGCCCAGGAAGCTCAGGCCTTGGGGCCGCTCCTGCAGGGCAGACAGGAGCTCCTCCAGGCCAGTACAGCTGATCTCAGGGTTGGCAGACAGGTCCAGTGAGACAAGTGAGGGGCAAAGAGGGAGACATCTGGGGTGAGGGAAGAAGTGAAGGGGTCAGTTTCCAGGGAGGGAGGCCCCCATCACTAGGGAAAGCTGCTCCAGACAAACCCACTGCTCTGTGGGCCAAGCTAATAAGCCCAACAGGTCTTGCCCCCAGCCTGGCACAGGCACAGGTGTTCCTCCACAGCTGTCAGGGCACTGCCAGGGGCCAAGGCTGTAGTGACCAGGCTTGGGGCACATTCAGGAGGGAGCTGGCACCACCTTTGCTCCCCTTTCCTGACTAGTGCCCCCCCCAGACCCAAGGCTCCTGGGCCTAGAGATCAGAACCCCCTCAGGAAGCGGGGCATGGGCAGGGTGGTGTTACCTGCTCAGGTCTCTCACTGCCTGGTCACCCAGGTGGTTTGCAGACAGGTTCAAGTGTGCCAGGGCACAGCCTTCCTAGACAGCAGAGGCCCAAGGCTGCAGTGAGTGGGTGCTTGTCCTCCCTGCCTCCCAGAGGCTCACACAGCGGAGGGCAGACAACTTCCTTCTTTCTTGGGGGTGAGGGGGCATCAGAGGGAAGCAATATCCCCTCAATTTGCAGATCAGAATGACTTGAGAATCATGGGTACCCCGCCCTGCCTGGAAGTACCCCCAAGAGAGAGCACTGGGAGGCCTGACACTCCCTTGGACCGGCTTGGGGGCCAGGGGGCCACCTGGGATCCACAGCCCAGGTCAGGGAGCTTCCCCAAGGCTGTTATTCAGAACCTGCAACGCTCTCCCAGCCCCTGCCCCTGCCCAGCCTTCGGCCGGGTGGCCCAGGGTTCCCATGGCTCGGTGTTTGGCCCAACCACGTACCTTGGTCAGGTATCTGACCACGGGTTCCACCAGGCCCGAGTCAGTCTTGCTGGCCACTATGGAACTGACTTCCAAGTGCAGGAGGGTCTGGGCGGGCAGGCTCTGCAGGGTCTGGGACAGGGCGGTGGTGCCCAGGATGTTGTAGGACAGGGACAGTGTCTTCAGGTGCTTGGCATCTGAACCAGGGGCCAGAAGCGCTATCAGCCCTACACAGCACCACTCAGCCCAGCTGCAGAGTCCTGGACCCTCTGGGGAGCTGTCACCGAGACCTGGTGCACAGGGAACAGGCCTCTTGCCTGGGGATGAGGGGGTGGGCCAGACTCCTGAGCCCAGCTTCGCCCCATGTTTCTGGCCTCTGCCTGCCCTGACCCACCGCAGGACACCCAGGTTGCCTGAGATAGGCCCTGGGCAGGATGTGTGGGTGGGGCCGGGGAACACTCCTCTACTGCCCTAACCCCAGACTCCTCCCCCACTGCTGCTCACAGTCCCACCACCGCTGCGGAAAGGCCCTCCGGGAAGTGCTGAGACTGGCTCTCTGCGGCCCTGCTGGGTGTACGTGGGATGATTCTGGCCCATGGAACAGCTGGTGAGAGCAGTGGGGCTGGGACTCTGCCCTGTGGTACGATCTGGCTGGGAAAGTACCAGATGCCTCTACCCTGTCTGTCTACCTACATGCGTCCAGCAGCCAGGCTGATGCCCCAAGGCCCCTCTAGCTCAAGGCTCTCCGAGTCCCTGCACACGCCCTACTGATGGCAACTGGAACCCTGGGGTCAGGGAGTGGACATGTGGTCAGCTCACCTAAGAAGGCTCGGCCCAGCGCTGCCTGGTGGCTCAGGAGGAAACCAGGGCCGAAGCCACAGGCCCGAAGGTGCAGAGTGCTGAGTGCAGGGCAGGCCCGCAGGACCGAAGCCAGGGCCTGACTACAGCCATCCCCGAGGGGGTTCATGCTTAAGTCCAGCTCCTCCAAGTTCTGGGAAGACACAGGCCCCCCATAGGATCTGCTGTCCTTCCCCGCTCCCCCACACCCCTCACCCCGAGCTGGGCACCAGTCAGCACCCCAGGTGTGCCTTCCCACCCATCTCCCCCATGCCTTTACCTGCAGGGTGGCTTTGCCCACCAAACCGGAGGCAAGCTGGCCAAGGCCTTCAGGGCCCAGGTGATTGGAAGAGAGGTCGAGGAGGGTCAGGCCAGGCAAAGTGTCCAGGGCGGCCAGCAGCTCAGTGGCACAGCTGTCCCCCAACCGGTTCCCTGCCAGGCGCAGCTCCCGGAGCGCTGAGTGCAGCTTGAGGGCCCGAAGCAAGGGCGTGAGCTGGGCCTGGCGCAGGGCCAGGGAGCAGGCGCTGAACAAGGGGCCCACACCCTGGTGCTCCATGGCCTGCAGCACCTGCGGATGCTCCCCTGCAAGGGGACGTGGTGTCACCAGGGCCAGAGCCGGCCTGTCTACCCCTTGAAACCTGCACAGCCCTCCTCACTCCCGAGCCCACCTGCTCCAAGCCAGTGGTGGGCTCCATGCAGCCTGGTGGCGTGCAGACCTGTATCTGACCAGGAAGGCCCTCCCCACCTCTCAGCCTGGCGGCTCCCAGAGGTGCCAGACTTCTGGCCCGGCCCAACCTCTCAG